GGTGGAGCCCAGAGGGCGCGGGGCAGTGGCACTGCCCTGTGACGCGGTGATGACGGTCACACGCCATCACACATCTGCCCACACCCACGGGGTGCACAGCACAAGAGTGAACGCTGCCCGGCCGGCGTGGCTCAGTGCTTGAGCGCCCACCCATGAACCAGGAGGTCAGGGTTCGATTCCCGGTCAGGGCACATGCCCGGCGCTGTGGGCTTGGTCCCCAGTGTGGGGCGTGCAGGAGGCAGCCGGTCCATGCTTCTCTCTCATCACTGATGTTTCTGTCTCTCCCTCTCCCTTCCTCTCTGAAATCAATGCAAATATATATTTTTAAAAACGAGTGAGCCCTGGTGTCCCCTGTGGCTCTGGGTGACCCTCCGTGTCAATGCCAGTCGTTGGTTGTGACAAATGCCCCTGGTGGGGAGCCTCGTCGGAGAGCTGTGCCGGGGGGTATGGGGTGGGGGGTGGGAGCTGGGAGGTGGGAACGCTCCCTCCTTGCCCTCAGTGCTGCTGTGAAGCCTAAACTGCTCTAAGGAGCCTGTTTCCTGGCAGGAATGGCCCGAGAGCGCAGGAACCCTCTCCTCACGTTACCAGCTTCTCGGTTGTACCCATACAGCCCGCAGATCACACGCCTGCAGTCCCCTCTCACCATCACTTCTAAAGAAAAGGACACTTTTATTTCACAAAAACGAGCAAAACTGACATCACCTTAGCGTAACGGACATTCTCCCGAAGAGCAAGCCTCCGTGGTCTTTCGCAGTGAACGACCCCCTCCCGCAGGCCCTGCCCCGCGAGCTCCCGTGCCGACGTCGCCCAGGCCCAGCGGCCCCGAGGGGAGAGACTGCGAGCCGTGACCTCAGATTTAGAGCAACCTCTTCAAGCTTCGCATTGACCGAGCTCACTCTCTCTGTAAATCCTCCTCTGGCTCACCAGGGGCCTGCCGGGAGGTAAATGGAGGTGGAACGTGTTTACCTGTGAGTTCCACTTGCTTTTCGATGCCGCTGACCCCGCGTGCCACTCAACTAAATGGCGCCTCCACATGGGGCCCCCTAAAGGCACTCAAAGGGGGAACCGCACCGGCCCCCTCCCCCCACCCCCACCCCCCGCCCGGGAACCGGCCATTACTGAGGGCCGGGCCGCGACAGTGGACGGGTCTCCGGGAGCTGACAGAGCCGCGGGCCTGAGGCCCCGGGGACCCTGGGAGGGGCTCGCCCTCCAACACATGGCCCTCAGCCCAGGGAGGCGAGGACCTGGCTCGCCGTGCGGGAGGTGGGGGAGGGAAAGCAGGGCAGCTGGCGGCTGGCGGCTCCGGGAATCACCCACAGCCACCTGGGAGCTGCCCTGGAGCCAGGCGTGGGGAGCACCAGGGTCAGCCTGGGGTCCAGGGAGACCCACACCTGGCTCAGTGTCAGGTGAACAGGCGGATGCCAGCCTTTAAAGGTCCACACACATATAGAGCCTCATGGAGCCGCACCTCTGCTCCACCCCGAGTGGCTTTTGTGTATGTGTGAGGTAGAGGCAAGGGATTGTTCTCCCCACAGGAAAGCTAATTGTCCACTGGCTGAGAAGCTGTCTCCATCACACGGTGCGACCTTCATCGCTGTGTAAAGCTATATATGTGCAGATAGATGTAGACATAGATAGATGATATAGATACAGATATATAGCTATAGATATATTATAGATGCAGATATAGATATGTTATAGATGCAGATATAGATATATTATAGATGCAGATATAGATATAGATATATTATAGATGCAGATATAGATATAGATATATTATAGATGCAGATATAGATATAGATATATTATAGATGCAGATATAGCTATAGATATATTATAGATGCAGATATAGATATAGATATATTATAGATACAGATATATAGCTATAGATATATTATAGATGCAGATATAGATATATTATAGATGCAGATATAGATATAGATATATTATAGATACAGATATATAGCTATAGATATATTATAGATGCAGATATAGCTATAGATATATTATAGATGCAGATATAGATATAGATATATTATAGATGCAGATATAGCTATAGATATATTATAGATGCAGATATAGCTATAGATATATTATAGATGCAGATATAGATATAGATATATTATAGATACAGATATATAGCTATAGATATATTATAGATGCAGATATAGCTATAGATATATTATAGATGCAGATATAGCTATAGATATATTATAGATGCAGATATAGATATAGATATATTATAGATACAGATATATAGCTATAGATATATTATAGATGCAGATATAGCTATAGATATATTATAGATGCAGATATAGATATAGATATATTATAGATGCAGATATAGCTATAGATATATTATAGATGCAGATATAGCTATAGATATATTATAGATGCAGATATAGATATAGATATATTATAGATGCAGATATAGCTATAGATATATTATAGATGCAGATATAGCTATAGATATATTATAGATGCAGATATAGATATAGATATATTATAGATGCAGATATAGATATATTATAGATGCAGATATAGCTATAGATATATTATAGATGAAGATATAGATATAGATATATTATAGATGCAGATATAGATATAGATATATTATAGATGCAGATATAGATATATTATAGATGCAGATATAGATATATTATAGATGCAGATATAGATATATTATAGATGCAGATATAGATATATTATAGATGCAGATATAGCTATAGATATATTATAGATGCAGATATAGATATAGATATATTATAGATGCAGATATAGATATATTATAGATGCAGATATAGATATAGATATATTATAGATGTAGATATAGATATAGATATATTATAGATGCAGATATAGATATAGATATATTATAGATGCAGATATAGATATAGATATATTATAGATGCAGATATAGATATAAATATATTATAGATGCAGATATAGATATAGATATATTATAGATGCAGATATAGATATAGATATATTATAGATGCAGATATAGCTATAGATATATTATAGATGCAGATATAGCTATAGATATGTTATAGATGCAGATATAGATATAGATATATTATAGATACAGATATATAGCTATAGATATATTATAGATGCAGATATAGATATAGATATATTATAGATGCAGATATAGATATAGATATATTATAGATGCAGATATAGCTATAGATATATTATAGATGCAGATATAGGTATAGATATATTATAGATGCAGATATAGATATAGATATATTATAGATGCAGATATAGCTATAGATATATTATAGATGCAGATATAGCTATAGATATATTATAGATGCAGATATAGATATAGATATATTATAGATGCAGATATAGATATATTATAGATGCAGATATAGATATAGATATATTATAGATGCAGATATAGATATAGATATATTATAGATGCAGATATAGATATAGATATATTATAGATGCAGATATAGATATATTATAGATGCAGATATAGCTATAGATATATTATAGATGCAGATATAGATATATTATAGATGCAGATATAGATATATTATAGATGCAGATATAGCTATAGATATATTATAGATGCAGATATAGATATAGATATATTATAGATGCAGATATAGATATATTATAGATGCAGATATAGATATAGATATATTATAGATGCAGATATAGATATAGATATATTATAGATGCAGATATAGATATAGATATATTATAGATGCAGATATAGATATAAATATATTATAGATGTAGATATATTATAGACGTAGATAAAGATATATATAGATATTATAGATGTAGATATAGACATAGACATAGATATATTATAGCTGTAGATATATATATATAGATATGGATGTTATAGATATAGATATAGATATAGATATATTATAGATGCAGATATAGATATATTATAGATGCAGATATAGATATAAATATATTATAGATGCAGACATAGATATAGATATATTATAGATGCAGATATAGATATAGATATATTATAGATGCAGATATAGATATATTATAGATGCAGTATAGATATAGATATATTATAGATGCAGATATAGATATAGATATATTATAGATGCAGATATAGATATAGATATATTATAGATGCAGATATAGATATAAATATATTATAGATGTAGATATATTATAGACGTAGATAAAGATATATATAGATATTATAGATGTAGATATAGACATAGACATAGATATATTATAGCTGTAGATATATATATAGATATGGATGTTATAGATATAGATATAGATATAGATATAGATATAGATATAGATATAGATATATAGATATTATAGATGTAGATATAGACATAGATATATTATAGCTGTAGATATATATATATAGATATGGATGTTATAGATATAGATATAGATGTAGATATAGATAATATAGATGTAGATATACAATTATAGATATAGGTATTATAGATATAGATATTATAGATGTAGATATAGATATTATAGATGTAGATATAGACATAGACATAGAGTATTATATAGATATAGATATTATAGATGTAGCTATAGCTATTATAAATATAGATATAAATGTAGATATAGATATTATAGATATAGATATTATAGATATAGATGTAGATATATAGAAATAGGTATTATAGATATAGATACAGATGTAGATATAAATATAGGTATAGATATTATAGATGTAGATATAGACATAGACATAGATATAGATATATTATAGCTGTAGATATATATATATAGATAGATATGGATGTTATAGATATAGATAGATATAGATGTAGATATAGATATTATAGATGTAGATATAGACATTATGGATATAGATATAGATAATAGCTATTCTAATAAAGCAGCATTTCCCAGGATAAGCATTCTCTTTGACACGCTCTTTAAAACTCCACATTGTGCTCACGGAACAGGCCCTCCCTGTGGGGAGGCCAGGACACAGCACTGGCCCCCGAGGCGGCCGGGGCCCGGGCGGCGGCACTCACTCGAGAACTGCAGGGAGAAGCCGGACTTGCTGATGAAGAAGTCGCTGTCGAACTGCAGGGTGAGCGTGTTGAAGGTGCTGTGGATGTCGCCGGGCAGGGCCGAGCCGCTCCACTCCTTCAGCAGGACGGCGCCGTCCGCGGGCCCGTCCCACACCCGCAGGACGTCGTGGCTCTTCTCCGTGTCGAACAGGATGAAGTGGAGGCTGCGGAGACAGCACAGGCCTGTCACTCAGGGGACACCTCCCGTCCCGGGGCGCACGGAGGCCCCAGCGGTGCACACCAGCCACTGCACACGCTTCCATCCCACCCGACCTGCCTGCCGGCACCTGGCAGGTGTGCCCCAGGGACTGGGCCGCAGGGACACCCAGGCGGAGCGGGATCCCCCTGGCAGGACCCACTCCACCTGCCAGGGATGCGCAGAGCCCTGAGCCACGTCCTGAGCCGCTTTTTCAGGATGAAACCATCCCTTCTGAGGCTGTCAGCTCTTTTTGTAAATGCACATTTGTATTGATGTCAGAGGAGAAGGGAGAGGGAGGAGAGGGAGAAACATCAATGAGGAGAGACAATCACGGACCGGCTGCCTCCTGCACACCCCACTCTGAGGATCGAGCCCACAGCCCGGGCAAGTGCCCTGACCGGGAATCGCCTCCTGGTTCATAGGTCGACGCTCAACCACGGAGCCACGCGGACCGGCTGTCAGCTCTTGGCTCTCACACAAAGCTTTCTGGGCCTCTCAGGCATGAAGACACAGGGGACAGAGCTTTGTGTGAAACTGATCCTGCAGGTTTTCTATGTGGTGTCGGTGTTGTTCTTGTCATGCCCAGGAGGGGGCAGCACCCACACCCGCAGGAAGGGATGCTGACACCAGGAGATTGTCTACCTGAACCTCTATGATGGGGTCTGATGTTGTATTTGTTCCCATAAACTGCATTTTCAGAAAATGCATTATTTGCAACAGCAACACGAAGGCGGGAGTGGGCCCCATCAACTCCTTCCTTTATCACATTTAGAATTCGCGGAGCGTGCAGGCAGAGATGTGCAATACCAACTCCTTCCTTTACGAAGTTTACGGCACTTTCATTGGATTTACAGATATTTTCCAGAGCGACTCCCGCGTCCCTGTGAGGGGGCTCGCTGTCAGAGGCGGCGGCAGAAATCCGGTCCTATTTACGCAGTTCAGACAGATCAGAGCGGAGCGAATGCCAGCGGCTGATTTACAGCGTTTTATTTACTGCTCAACGCACAGAATTGTAAGGGAGATAAAAACATCGGAACAGATGACACAGGAAAGACTGCACACACATCTAAATTATCTATTTTGTGTGTACTATAAGCTTAAAAATATCTCTCACCTGCATGGAGTCAGAAACATAGCTCATTTTTAAATGTCCAACATGAAATATACTTTTATTCCACAGAAAAGATCAGACTACAGCAGGCATGTGTGTACCCCTCCCCTGCCCCGGTGGTAACAGTCAGCCCCATTTGATCCAGATCTTTTTAAAGAATAAAATCTTACAGACACTCTCACACGCCCTCCCCCACGTGGTCTTGTGTCCTTCCGGTCGCCTGCGCTTTGAAGTTCAGATGGACCGTCCCGTTGATATTTTCCCAATTTCCATCCACGTGTGCACACGCTTACCCCCAGACGACGCACAGGGCCCTTTGGTGTGTCCACCAATAATGACATCAGCGATGGTCCCTTTGCTGTGGGTTTGTATTGCCTTCAAGCTGCTTTTCATACTCGGCATGGAGAGAACCCCTCTGCCCTGGGGAATGTCACTTTCAGGGAGTCACACACAGAAGAGGAAATGAAACGACGACTGACATCATCACCAGAAAGCAGGCGAGAGCGGGGAGTCCTTCTGAGATGGGCAAGGCCCACGCACAGGACACGGCGCACAGATTGAGGCAAATGGTCTCAGATCTCCGTGACCAGACCACACGCCGTGCTGGGGGCTGGAATTCAGCTCCCTCCGCAATGTCAGCTTTCTTTCAACTTGTCTATTGATCAACTGCGATTCCAGTAGGAATCCTAGTGATTTCCGTGGTAGGAAGTGACACGTGTTTGTAAAATGCACATGGAAATGCAGAGCCACGGACTGCCATGGCAATCTAACGCAGAAGAACGAAGGTGGAGGTTATACTACGGAATCTCAAGACTTCTAATAAGGCAAGTAAGGAACCAATAGAGACAGGTCCTGCACTGGATGGACAAATAAATGGAAAGATGGATGGACGAATAGATGGATGAACAGACGGACGAACAGATGGACGAAGAGAGAGACGAAATTAAGCTCAGAAACAGGCCGAAGTGAATGACTTACTTGTGACGAAGGCCGCACTGCCCTGCAATGGAGACTGGCTATTCCACAAAAGGACAATCAGCTTCCCTATGGACAAAACAGCACCTTGACCCTCCTCACGCCATGTGCAAAAGTCAACCCGGGTGGAGTGGGGATGAATGTGGAGGGAAATAACCCTCCTACTACAATAACCTAACGTCACGTTCTTCTAACATGGGGGAGGCAACACTTTTAAATCTGAACACAAAACCATTATGAACATTCCCAACGAGTGTGTGACAGGACAGAATCTAAGTACAGAGACCCACTAACTATGAAAGAGAGTGAGTTAAAATGGATTCCACTCAAGGAAAAGAAGAGTCTGTGAGCATCAAAGGCATCGTTATGAGACCCAAACGACTGCCCCCAGGGTGTAAGGATGCGCAAGTTACACCCGGTGAGCGGCTTGGTTAGTTGAGCATCGTCCTGTCGCCCAAAGGTCGCTGGTTCGATTCCTGGGCAGGGCAGATTCCTGGATTCGATGCCTGGGGTGCAGGCTCAATCCCCAGGAGCGGGCGTGCAGGAGGCAACCAATGATGGTTTTCTTTCACATCAATGTTTCTGTCTCTCTTTCTCTCCCTCTCTTTCTCAATAAAATAAAATAGATAGCTTATGTATGTGCTGTATATAACACATTATTGCTATATATGATCAATAAAAGATTGTATTCAGATGGACAGAAACTGTTTCTGTACTGGAACGTGGAGAGAAGACCCTTTCTGGAGGCCTGGTGAATCTGGGGGCGTGGCCATGGGCGTGGATCCAGGCGTGGCAGCTGGATGGGTGGGTGGGTGGTGAGTGGAAGGCTTGGGGAGAAGGGGGGATGAACAGTGAGGTCACGGGGTGGGCGGGCCAGCAGCGTGAAGGTCAGAGGGCCTAGCTGTCCTGACACCCAGATGTCCGGCTGCGAGGGAAGGCGCTGAGGCACAGAGCGCGGAGTCCAGGGAAGGCGGCACCCTTCTCAGGCGGGATCAGGAAAAGGCGTCTTTGCTGAGGGCCTGACGTTGTAACTGAGGCCTAGAATTTGAGGAGGGTCTGCGGGTGAGGCAGGGGACCTGGGTGCACAGGCTGAGCGCGGGATGGAGGCAGCGAGTGCTCCCTCTGAAACGGCCCGGGTGAGCATCAGAGATAACGCGCCAGGGGCAGAGCGCCAAACCCCTGGGGGCCGGGACTCTGGGGGACCAGCCGGTAGAGGCTTTGGAGAGGTCAGTAGGGAGAAAATTAAAGTGCGAGGGAAGTGAGGGGAGAGAGGAACTGGAAACGCAGGCAAGAGGGAGGGGGAGACGGGCCCCCACCGCACGGCTTTCATGCACAAGGTTTCCCACGGCCTCCTAGACAGCGGTTCTCAACCTGTGGGTCACGACCCCTTTGGGGTCAAACGACCCTTTCACAGGGGTCGCCTAAGACCATCGGAAAACACATATATAATTACATATTGTTTTTGTGATGAATCACTATGCCTTAATTATGTTCAATGTGTAACAATGAAAATACATCCTGCATATCAGATATTTACATGACGATTCGTAACAGCAGCAAAATTACAGTTATGAAGTAGCAACGGAACTAAAGTTATGGTTGGGGGTCACCACAACATGAGGAACTATATTAAAGGGTCGCGCGGCATCAGGAAGGTTGAGAACCACTGGACCTAGAAAGAAATCTAAGGCTGTCAGCCCCACAGACCGGGAGGCATAGCCCAGGTCTTGGGGAAATACTGGAGACGGAGGACACAGGAGTCAAATAACTTCTGAAAATGGAAACCTTCCAGGAGCAGGACGGGCATCCTCGGGAGGGTGAGCGGACACAGGGCTGGGAGGAGGCGGCTAAGGAAGCCGCGGCACATGGGCTCTCAGAGGCGTCAGCGTCCCCTCCCCGGGGCAGCAGTGACCCCAGCGCCCCTGTCAGTCACCCCCCCGCCCCCGTCATTCCCATCGGTGTGGCTCAGGCCCGACTCCTGCGGGCAGTTGGCATGTGTCCTGCACGTGCACCTCCTGGCCGGTCCCCCCTAATGATCCATGCTGTAAACGTCCTGGGCGTATCCCGGGGAGACGGAGGTGACACTGCTGTCTGTGCACACAGGGGCCGAGGAGGGGGCTTTGAAAGGGGACAGGGCTCAGCTCGGCCCGGGAGGTGTCTCCTACCGGGGTGGCGACTCGGGAGCTGAAGGCCCAGGAGGAGTGGGTCCGCCCCCTCCCCCACCACCCCCCTTCCCCTGGGCGTCTGTTTCCCACACGTCACTGAGGGCGCTGGATGCCACTGTGCACAGGACACAGATCACCAGAGTGGGAGCGTTCCGTCCACCGACTGCCCGACCAAGGCCCTGGCTGTGCCTCTCTCTGCCCTTCCTGTGTCCACAGCGGGACCCGGAGGCCGGCCGCTCCGTCTCCGAGGGTGCAGTGACACCAGGGAGGGCCACAGGGACCAGGGTCATGGGGGTCAGGGCTGCGGGGGGCGGGGTAGGCAGAGTCTTAAGAAAGGCTGGGGAGCTTTCGTGGCTGTGAGCGTGTGAGGTGAGGCTGTTTACGTGGTGGGTTGCGGCGACCAGGCCGGGCCCGCATGGCAGGTCTCAGTGTCCTCCCAGCATGTGCACCCTCCCGACGCCTCAATAAAATAGATGGATGGTAACAGCAATAGAACAGAAATAATAACGATGTGGAGACGGTGAAGAGCGCCGCGATGCATGGGACGGTGAGCGGGCGAGAAGAGGGGAGAAGTGGGCGGAGGACCGTGTGCTCCCTTCCGGCCATGGGGACGTGACCAAGGCCAGCTCGCTTGGAAATGGCCTTTCGCTGGACGGACTGGGGATTCCGACACGGCCTTCCCACTGGACATGGACAACCTGCTTTAAAAACCTTCCTTTTGCTGGTTTGCTCAGTGGTTTCACAAACTGCTCTCCACAACCCAGACCCATTCATGGAAACACACTTTCTCTTAACACATTGCGCACCGCATAGAAATCTCTAAGACATACGCCAGGGACCGCACGTTTTTGGGCAAACTGCACGTTATTTAAATCATCATAATGCACTTTAGGTGTTGTTTTTCAATAATTATAACATTTTTATTTACAAAAACAATTAAACAATTAAAGTCCCTAGTACTTTGTTAACGTATGGTACTGCGTAAAGCATTTTCCTCTACGAAGAGGAACCAAACTAAATTTACATAAGCATCTAGATTCGCTCCTTTTTCCACGGGCGTCAAAAAACGAGAGCACTCGTGAGCGGTCCTTAACAGACGGCGCGCAGAACACGAGAAACCTCCTGAGCGGTACGGAATGTGTTAAATGGCTGCATGTTTGATGGTTGTCTGGTGCGTGTGCCCCTCCAGCCTGGAGCGGGTCCTGGTCTGCCCCACAGTGACACCCATGTCTCACAGATGAGGATGAGCCGTGTCCTCCCCGCATGCCTGGGGCCCATCACTGTGCCTCTATTCTCTCCCCATTAAGGGGCGGAGAGTCTCTCTCCAAACCCTCTTGCTCCTGAGACCGTGAAATCTGCTTTGGCAAAGGGCACGTGAGCAAATGCGATGCAAGCGTGAGTGTGAAAAGCCGTCATCTCCTGCTGCTGCGGACCTTCGACCGCGACCAGCTATGGAGGACCGGCAACCTGGGTGGAGAGGACCCCGCCTTCCCAACCGTCCGGCAGAGGCCCCACACCTGAGCGAGGCCACTGGGACCACCAGGCTGGGTGCGCACAGACCAGACTGCCCAGAGTACCCACCACGCCCTGAGCACATCACTAACTGTTTAAAGCAGCTGAGTCTGGGGGGCCAGCTTGTTACGCAGCCAACGCTAACGGATACACTTTCTGTTTTCCTTTGTTATACGTGGTTACCGCACATTGTCAAAGGAACACAGTGTCAACACGTGGGCCCGCGGACCATTCACCCCCCAGCGTGCTCCCTCCTGTAGCTCAGCAACCTCACACGTCACCCCCCAGGGGTCACGACAGGGAGAGCAGCCGACACACCTCTAGTCCCAAATCGCCGGAGCAGAATCGGACACGCACCTGATGGTCCTCCCGGGGTCGGCCTCGATGACCCAGGTGCAGTGCAGGTTGTTGTCGTAGGGCGCCGGGTAGCCGGGGGACAGCAGGCGCCCCGAGGTGGCCGCGTGGATCTGCCCACCGCACTCCGCTGCAAGACACAGACGTGGGGTCACACAGGGGTCACGGGTTATTTAGCTACCAGGACACAGCCCGCCTGTCTGTGTTTTATCCATCACACACCACAGTCACCTCCCCATCGCTATCGTTTCTTTCTGTTCCTGTTCCCAAGCATCGCCCTGAAAGAAAGACACTGTCTCTCAGGAAATTACAGCGGAGAGCATAAAACCATGAGACACACGTGCTACAATTCTAATAATTCCCTGCAGATGGTCTCAATAAAACGGAACTAGAACATCTGTCTTTCACACCTAAACGCCTACACACAGCCCGGCCGGCGTGAGTCAGTGGCTCAGCGTCGACCTAGGAACCAGGAGGTCAGGGTTGGATTCCCGGTCAGGGCACATGCCCGGGTCGTGGGCATGATCCCCAGTGGGGGGTGTGCAGGAGGCAGCCGATCCATGCTTCTCTCTCATCACTGATGTTTCTATCTCTCGCGCCCTCTCTCTTCCTCTCTGAAATCAATAAAAACATATTTATTTTAAAATCCTACACAAACGTCAGGAGCACGAACGCGGCGGTGGGGACAGCAGTGGGAGCGCCCTGGGCTCCGGTCGGTCCCCCGGGAGCGGGCCCCACTCACCCACGCAGGAGGGCAGGGGCTGGTCCCACACTCTGCGGTCCCCGCTCAGGCAGGTCAGCGTGCTGCTGCCGTGCATGGCGTAGCCGGGGTTGCAGCTGAACACGACGGCGGTGTCCGCGAAGTGGCCGTCGTCCCGGACCCGGTAGCCGTAGCTGGGCACCCCGGGGTCCTCGCACTTCACCAGGTCGAAGCCTGCGGGGGAGGGGGAGGGGAGAGTGAGCAGGGCCACGTGGGACGCAGCCCGGGGTAGGGCCACCGGGAGAGGCCGTGCCCTCCCCCCTGAAAGGTTCCAGCAGGATCTGCAAGGAGGCCCGGTGGATGCTCTTCCGTCACAGCCTGTGACATCCTGTCACCCACTATGGCTCCCGCATCCCAGCTGGGTGCCTCCGTGTAGCCCAGACCCCTGCAGTGACCACAACCGGCTTCGGGGCCAAGCTCGGCCCATGCCCGCGAGGCCACCCTGGCGCCTCCTTCTGAGCCTCCGTCCCCTGGACCGCACGGTTGATGGGCGGGTGTCTCATCCTCGGGGGCTCCTGGGCACGTGACTCACCCCCACGGAAGCTCACCTCCCAGCAGGCAGGAGGCGGCAGGGACTGCGCCATGGCGCCCCCAGGTGCGAACAGGAAGCACATTCATGCAATATGTGTCACTGGCTCTTAGTTTAATTCCTGTGTGTTACTAAGTGCCTTCGGCTCACATCTACCAGGCAGCTTCGAACGACATTCAGGGCCATTGAAACATTCACCGCGAGTGTACCCGTTCCAAAAAAACCCGCACCCTGGCGTTCAAGATCATGAACGTTAACGCGTGTCTCCAACTGTAACACTCGCTGGTACATAAAACACTGGGAGGTTTAAAATCACATTTGGTCAGAATATGAGTGACCGGGACCGGAATGGATCCCGCAGTGACTTACAAACCTGGACTGAGGGCAACACGGTTCCTGCACCTCCCTGAACTGGTTTCCCAAGAGGAGGCCCCCCCAGGCCCCCCCACACACACACCGTCCCTGGGGAACGTGCAGCACGTGCTCACATGACGAGACGGCCGTCCCAAGGGAGAGTCCCATCAAGTCGTTATTATTATTGTTGTTGCTGGTGGTGTTGTTGTTACTATTATATGAAAGTCAACACGGAAAGAGCCGAGAACACAAAGCAGGGCGACTTGGGTCCCGGGAAACGGTCGGATGCAGATGAGCCGACGGCAGACATTCCGGCAGCTTCGCGGCCAGAAGCCTGGACGACAGAGTCGCTTCTAACGAGAAGCAGAGCAGCTTCCCTGCTTGGTGCCTGGCTCCTTTGCCGACATTTCCCGTCAGAACCATGTCGCTCCTCAGGTCGTTTCCCGTTCGCAGTCCCGGCGCCAGCACCCAGCGCTCCCGCAGTGACGGAGCGTCCGCGCCGCTCTCCGCATCCCCCTGGGTCGCTGTGCGGTGAGGGGAGGCTCAGGGTTTCTCCCCGAAGGGCACGTCACAGGGACCTCCCTCCACGGAGGCGCACGACTCCCTCCCGGCGGCTCCACATGAGAAAGCCCTTCCGAAGGCAGCACTTCCTCCTGGGATGTGTGACCGCGGTTCCCTGACATCTCACTGACCGGGACGGACGAGGCACCAGGTCCCATAACCCGCCCGCAGCTCAGGGAGCATCCCGACACTGGCCCCGGCTGCGACCATATTCACGCAAGAGCAGTGGCCGTGGCCATAGCTGTGGTCGTGGCATCCACCCGGCTGCAGACTACACTGACCATCACCAAACCCCAGCCTCAAACTCTCTCACGGCGGCCGTTCCCGCCCCATCTGCTCGCCATTTGAAGGAGGAAGCAGGTCTCCGATGGCTGAGGGGCACACACGGCCTTAGGCAGGCCCCACGCAGGCCCCACGCGCGTCCCAGTCACTGCTCACCGTCATCTCACTCCCCTCCCATCTCACCTCGGACCCTGGAACAAAGCGCTTTCTTCTCTGTCCTTTCTATCCCCTCTGGCACCCGTTCTTGCGCCATCACGTCCGAATCGGATCACACTACGTCCGCCGAGTGCATTCAAACCCGGCCTGGCTGCCACGTCAGCTGCGTTTCACAGCAAACGGACCACCTGCCACCAAAGGCCAAGTGACGCCGACATCCCGTGTCCCGGAATTAAAGCCTCCCTCTCCCCCTGCAGACCCGCCCGCCTCCCCCACAGTCACCCAGAAAGCCCTCGGCTCCTCGGGGTCTCCAACCCCCACCTGAGCCTCACTCGCCGCCTGTCACAGGAGTTCAGAGGTCAGTGTTCTCAAAATCACCCCAAGAAAAATGTACGCCCCTTCGAACAACAGCTAAAATATGCTCTGAGTTTCCCAATTTCATGGGATGTCAGAGCTAAGTGTGTCCAACACCAGCCACTTATCCCGGGACAAACGTTCGCTCTGGGCACCACCAACCAGCAGCTGGTGGGAGAGAGGGCGGTGCGGCCTCCCTCACGCGCACGGGGATGTGCAGTACCCTCAGCGAGGGCTCAGCCTCGGCCTCTGCTATCGAGTGGCTCCCGTCATCCCTGCAGAGCCTGGCGGAGTGCCAGCTGGATGCGCCGTGGCTTCGTGTTTTTTCACTTCCCCCGTCTGCCTGCTCCCGTTGGAATTCAACAGACGGGTCCCCTTCCGAGCAGCGCTTCCCGAGATGTTTACTCAGGAACCAGCCAACCGGACTCATTGCTGGTGACGTGGAGGCCTGAGCAGCCTGCGCACGTCCTCAGGGCAAAATCTGCCGGGGTCCAACCCCAGAAGGTCCAGGGATCCCCAAAGGTGTGGACGGAGTCGGCAAAGAAGGAATGACACGGAGGCAGCGTTCAGTTGATCAGCAGCCTAGCCAGGATCTCTAGCCACAATCTCCAGCCAAGTTCTGTTTAGGATCTCCAGCAGATTCTGTGTCCATGTTCTCTTGCTAGGTTCTCCAACCAGGTTCTCCAGGTTCTCCAGCCAGGTTCTGTAGCCATGTTCCCTCGCTAGGTTCTGTCCAGGTTCTCAAGCCAGGTTTGGTCACCAGGTTCTAGTCAGGTTCTCTTGCCATGTTCTATCCAGGTTCTGTAGCCAGGTTCTGTCTCTAGGTTCTTCAGCCAGGTTCTCTCGCTAGGTTCTGTGTCTAGGTTCTGTGGCCAGTTTCTGTCCAGGATCTTTTGCCATGTTCTCTCGCTAGGTTCTGTCTCTAGGTTCTATGGCCAGTTTCTGTCCAGGATCTTTTGCCATGTTCTCTCCAGCGAAGTTCTTCTGTCTCTAGGTTCTGTGTAGGTTCTGTGTCTAGGTTCTGTGTCCTGTTGTCTTGTTACATCTGTATTTATACCAGTTGATTCAATCCTATCAATCTCTATTCCAAAGGTTAGGGCGTTTCTTATCTCCATTCCAGGGAGTAAAGATTATGTAGCTTAAGCATGATTGTTCGTAGTTAAAGTGATTAATTACCCGCCTGGCACTTAGTTAAGGGGTTTTATTCCCTCCCTAACTTCAGGGGAAAATCCCTACCTGGGGAAACAACCTTTCTCAGAGACCTTGGTTAAAACACATAGTGCCAAGAAGGTGAGCAAACATATTAAGAACAGTATGCCATATATGCCAGGTCCCTTGGAACAGCAAGCATGGACCGGCTCCCGGCAAAAATCCATCCGTGGGGAGAGAAACGGTAACCGCCAGCCCGGTAGCTCTCACGCCTTTTTCCTCCCAAAGCAGCACGAAGAACCCGCCACGTGCCGGGAAAGGCGAGACCGGAGAGACCACGACCTCTGACCCTTTCTGACGATCAGGTCGCCCCGAGACCCCATCTCCTGTGGGGGACCCTGTGTGGGCACAGTGGATCTACGACTTTGACCAACATGGTAACTGCTGCTTTTTATTTTCCCTATGGAAAAACGGAATGTGCTCACTCTTCCCATAAAAGGTTAGATTTTTGTAGCCTGGGTGACACCATTTGCCAGCTTCTGATTAAGCTCACAGTCAGATCCTCTGCTTTTAGCCGGAGCCTTGTAATTAGGTCATGCGTGTCTCCTGTTTCTAGGCCCCCGGAGTTTCTGAAGTCTGGCCCGCAGCACACGCATCAGTCCTGCAAGAGGAAAACAGAGCCACGTGCACCACCCAGCACACCGTCACCCGAGGACAGACTTACACCCTAAAACACAGTCACTTACACAACCAAGCCTCCTGGAAAATTACGCAAAGCTACGCGGACCCTTCCAGACCCGCCTCGGGCAGTGACGTCTGTGGGGTGTGAGGCTGGGATCGGGGTGGGGGCTCAGGCGCCGAGTGGGGAATCTCACTTGGCAGAGACGGAAGCGGCTGTGTCACGGGGCCTGTTTAAAGCTCCGTGAACGCTGATCCGTTAACCTCAGATGCTCTCCTGTCAGGAAGGCGGGCAATGACGAACATCCCGGAGGAGCCCGAGACCCGGGCCATGCCAGCTCCCCTCCCCACGCTTCTGGGCGTGAGTCAGCCAGCTCAGCACCCGCGTCTCACTGTCCTTCCTAAACCGCATATGGGCAAGGCCCTCCCTCCGGAAGCGATGGCTATGTCTGTCCTGCGGTTTGGCGGCCGCACCTGGGGTCAGCACAGCGGGTCCCAAACAACTACCCGCGCACCACCCGCCTTGAGAATCCGTCAGGTTTGAGCTCCAAGGATCTTTCTAGTGATGGTCTACAATAATCCCGTATTCACTATAGCCTGCTGTTTATCTGAGTGTGCCCACAGCGCATATTCCTAACGCAAACAGTGAGCCGTGTGGGGACTGGGGACGGGACCGTTTCCTCTCGGGGGCGTTCTTCCCCGTCATCCACTGTCCCTCCTGTGTTACAATGAACTCGGCGTCCCTCCGAGGGACCCGCGCCGGCCTGCCTATCGCACCTGGACCGCCTCCAGGGCCCCTCACCTGGGTTCCCCCGCAGGCGTCCGTGGTGCAGAGCGTGTTGTCCGCAGCGGGGCTCACGGGCTCTCTTTTCTCGCAGAAGCAGAGAAAGTGCAGCTTCCAGCATCCTCCCAGGAAGGCGAGCTCGGACAAATGCACGGATGTGTCTCCATATGTGGATGGAGCAGGTTTCCAATGGCGCCGCTCGCAGCCCAGGTCGTGGCCCTCCTGCTGCCCGCCCCGGCCCCCTCTCGCCCGCTGTGGGCGGTCCCTGCCACTGCCAACCTGTCCACCTGCTCACAGAGCCCAGCAGCACCGGGCCCAGGGCCGGCT